ATTGTAAATGTATTAACAGTGGCTAGGATTGTATTTGCTAAAAACTGGAAAAATGAGAAAACACCATCACAGGAGGAAATTATTAAGAAAATATTGGAATGTGCTGAAATGAGCAGAATGACATTTGAAATTAGAGAACAGGATGATAAACAATTTTATAAAGTTTGGGATCTATTCTATCAATGGTTAGACAATAAAGTATAGTAACAAAATATGTAGACTTTTAGAAAATACTAAATATATAAAGATGTATTCTTTCCTTATTATATCTACAAAATGATTTTAGGATAGATTTCGGATGATAATATGAATTGTCACAAAACAAATTAAGTAAAATATGACTATTTCCTAAAGCATGAATGAATAAAAGTATAGTCAAATGATTGATTAATAATGATACTAATGTATTTAGTATTGGATTGAAAATATGAGATCATATACAATGTAATTGTAATTGAAGACTACGAAATGGAAGCACAAAACAATTTGTAAACCAACTGGCACACTGTATGTACATATATGGAAGATGGCCGGATGTTTTTATGTTTTGTTTGTTTACGTTTGTTTTAAAAACCAATAAAAATTTAAACGAAAAAAAGAAAGAAAAAAAATAATAGCAGAAAGGTTGAAAAGATTTTTGAACCAATTTATACACCCAGATCAAAATGGCTTTTTACCTAAGAGACAGATTAAAGACAATATGAGAATAATTTTGGACATGCTGGAATATTATGAAGCTCACCTGGAAAAGCAAATGGTGTTGATTTTCTTAGACGCAAAGAAGACCTTTGAGAATATGAGTTGGCAGTTCATGCTGGCACAATTAAAAGAAATGGACTTTGGAGAGAGGTTTGTTAAAATGATTGTGGCATTATATCATAAACAAACTGCAAAATTTATGGTAAATGGTGATATGACAGAAAATGTGAATATCAAGAAGGGTATGAGACAGGGATGTCCCTTGTCACTATTACTATTCATTTTGACCTTGGAAGTATTAAATAGAAATATTGGACAGGATAGGGAGATAAAGGGCATGGAAATAAAAAAGGAAGAGTATAAGATACAGGAATTTGCAGATGACCTACTTTTTATTTTAGAAGAGCCACTGGAAACAAGACCTAAACTACTAGAAAAAACAGAAGAATATGGTGAAGTGGCAGGACCAAAAATGAATAGAGAAAAAACTAAAATGTTAGTGAAGAATATTATAGATAAACAGAAAAAGGAATTAATTAAGAGACTGGATATTCAGATTACTAAGAAAATAAAATACTTAGGGATTTTTCTAACAGCCAAATGCGTAATGATTAAGGAAGATAAGTATCAGAAACTATTGCAACAAATCAAGACAGATTTGGAAAAATGAAAGGTTTGGAATTATCATTAATAGGAAGAGTAGCAACAATTAAAATGAACATATTGCCATGGCTACTATATTTATTTCAAACAGTCCTGATAAATTTGGGGGGAAAATATTTTGAGGATCTTAACAAAACAATATTGAAATTTATCTGACAAGGGGAAAAAGCAAGAATTAGCTTAATTCCACAGGATGCACGAGTGAGAGGGGGTTTTGGACTGCCTAACTGAGAACTATATTACCAAGCCACGGCCTTAACATGGATGAAAGAATGGATAGTACTGAGGAATTCAAGACTGTTGACTTTGGAGGGGCATGATTTACAACTGGATTGGCATGCATTTTTTTAGTATGGGAAAAACAAGACACATGGTTACTTTCAGAGGCACTATATAAGAAGCATTCTAATGTTAACATGGGAGAAAATTAGAGAACAGCATTATTTGAAAGTACCAGTTTGGCTTTCTACCATGGAAGCACTTAATCATCCTAATATTTTTAACATGGGAAATACTGTAAGAGATAATGACATTTTAAATGAAAGGGGTGAGCTCAAAACCAAGCAAGAACTGGATGAGCAAGGGATCAGTATGATTTGGTATTCATATTTGCAAATACAGTCGAGATACGAAAAATATGTTAAAACATATAGCTTTTATAAAGAACTGACAGAATTGGATAAGATACTAACAGGAACAAAAGAAAAGCTGATAAAAATTGTATAATTACTTGGGTATTAAACTAGAAGAGGAACAAGTGAAGGAGACAATGATAGCATGGGCAAAGAATTTTGGTTATACAATAGCACTTGATTATTGGCAGAAACTATGGGATAGAAACTATAAGGTAACAATGTCAACCATATAAGATGTTTTATAGATGGCATTTTTGTGCCAGCAAGGTTGGCAAATATGTTCAAAGATATATCAGCAAAGTGTTGGAAATGCCACCAAATACCTGGCACATACTATCATATGTGGTAGACAGGTACCAAAGCTAAAAAATACTGGACAAAAATACGTTTATGGTTGGAAAAGATGATACAAAAGCATGTTGACTTAAAACCAGAAATATTCCTGTTGGGGATCTTACCTGAAACCTATAGTAAAGAGAATGTATATTTGATTATTCATGTACTAACTGCAGCGAGAATTGTATTTGCTCAAAACTGGAAGAGGGAACAGATTCCTGTTGAAGAAAATATGATTAGGAAAATACTAGAATGTGCAGAAATGAATAATTTAACTCTTGCAATTAAAGAAAAAGAGCAAAACTGAATATTATAAGGTATGGGAATCATTCTATCAATGGCTAGAGAAAAAAAATATGAAAACTAGATATAGTTAACAGACTAGTTAAGAATGTTGCAATATAGAAGATAGCTTAATAGAAATAAATAAGTTAAAGAGTAAAGGGATAGAGATATTAAGTATATTGAGACAAAATTAGAGAATAATACCAATGTAATGAATATGATTGTAATTATCAATTGTATTGCACAAGATATTTATTTCCAGATGACATGTCATCAAATGGAAGAAGATATGTTTGTAATAAAAATAAAATAAAAAACTTTATGTAAAAAAAGAATTCCCTAATGCTGAACTTCACCTCACTACCAGTATTAAAAGAAAAAAGCATTTTATGTTTTTGCTCTGCTTATTGTCTGGATTAATTATACCACTTTGATATATGGCAATTAATGTAATAAAGAAAATTACAAAAAAGAGTTTACAATTTTAGGTAAGAGGTAAGAGATAAGACCAGCGCCCCCAGCCCCATAGCAATTTGCGGTCATGAGAGGAAGCATGTAGAAGGTTGTTTAATACAATTTCTGAGCTGCAGTCTGAATTGATACAATGGGAGACATTCCATGAGAATGCAAAAGCAGTCTTCAAGGTAACTAAGGGCAAATAACAGCAAACAGCCTGCAACAGTTGTAACACTATTTCTTAACAAGGAACAGTTGTCCCCAACAATGCTCAGAAGAACCCTTTATTACTTCTTCCCAATCCAAGTTAATATCAGGGCCTGAAATCTGTTTTTCAAGTTAAGCATAAATTAATCCTCTTTTATAACAAAATTACTATGGTCTAGGTTGTCCAGTAACATTTTTACATTAGCTATGTTTTTAAAGGAAGACAGCTACTGACCATAAAAAATATGAATTTTTCAACATTGCCAGTGTTGGAACTTCACTTTTTATCTCAAATGCAAGAATAAATAATGAGTTGTATAGAGTTATTACCAGAAGGAATCTATTCAGAACCGCTTTGAACTATCAAGAGAAAGTGACAGGTTTACTGCCTCTGTGTTCTGAAGTGTGAATGGTCACTTCAGATCACTTACAGCTCTGGCAAGACAGCTTAACAATACCAAATTCATCATATCAGCTCTGCTGAGAGCAGTGTTCCATAATGCACATGATGAAGAAACAGTCTCCCAAGGATTCTAGTCTTTTCCACTCACCAACCTCATGGTCTTAAAAAGCACAGATTTAATTTCCTCAATGAATATGCAACGTTCTGAATCTGAATTATATTCTTATAGATCAAACAAACAAGAATTTTAAATGTGCCCTGTATAAAATCCCTTTCTAATTCAAATGCCCCTTATATAGAACAGCAGTAGGGGCTCAGACTGATTGTAAAAATATAAGGCAACTCATTCATTAAAATTTTCTAATTCGGAGACAGTCATTTGGAACACAAAGCAATAGCTTTTAGGTTCCTATGTTTGAAGAGTAAATACAGCAAATACATTTTTTTCTAGACACTCTAAAAATTGTGTTTGTAATATCTTGCTGCAAATAAATGAACGCAGATCTTTAATTTCTACAGTTAAAATAATAAAAAAGAAGATGGTAATGGTTCTTCCTTAAACTCTAAAAAAGATTTCTTCCTTTTTTTGACAGTTGTTTAACCTTCCAAAATGCAAAAAAAAAGTACAGTAGTCAACAATTTTCTCCTAGACAAACTATGGTTCAAAGATGTAATGTGTAAACATAAAACATAAACCTAAAAGGTCAGTGCATAATATGAAGGACTAGCTCGATACCCGTGCTTCGCTATGAAACTATGTGGTCGGGCTTAGTTTTTCAGGAGGAAAATAAGGGGAGGAAAAGTCTGCCTTTCCCTACCAGCATCCATTGGTATTCATCTGGCTAGCGTCCTGTCAGTATATGAGAGAGTTGAGGGTTGTTTGGACACTGAAACACGGAAACTGAAACAGTATTTGCTATGTGAGCAAGAAGGACATAGCAAGGAGCCTGGGCGTGGCTTAGCTCAACTATTCTGTACTAAAGCTGCTTGGTGCTATGAAACTGAAACTTGCTCTCCTCTGCTTGTGTTTTGCATTTGGAACAGATTTCTTTTCAAGTGGGGAGGAGGAGTAGAACTCCTTAGCATCAGAGCGTGTTAATAATAATATATGAAATACTAATGCTCTCATGGTCATTTTGAAAAATCCTTTCTTAGTGAGCACCTAGAAGCCAAGAGGAACATACGTGCCAAATTTCAAATAGGATTTACAGTCCTGGATATTTTGTGATGAAGCGTGAGTGGTATTTCACTTTTATATATATAGATTAACTTGAATGTAAACATTAAAACATTAAATATACAGAAAACATACTCACCTTGGACATGGACAATTAACCCAGTGTGAAATGGAAAGTAAAGGTGAGGCCTCTTTTTCTTTAAAGGAAATAATGTTGGGCAATTGCACAGGTAAATCATCATAAGGTACAGGAACGGTGCCACAATTCTGACAATGAATGATTGGAATAGGAGTGCCCCAATAACGCTGTCGTGAGATCAGCCAATCTTTTAGTTTATTACTTGTTAAGAATCCTCCTATGTTTTTATTTTTGGCTTGCTGAGTGATGGCATTTAATGCCTTTTCTCTAGTCATACCTGTAAACTGTTTTACAAAAAAAAAAGTGTGCGTCTTTACTCAACAATCACATTTTGTAACAAACTACTTCAAGTAACTAATCTAATTAAATATAAAGTACACACTACCATGAATAAGTATGTATTCACAATTGAATTAATTTTGTACATAATAAGAGATGGAATTTGTTTTAATTAATGGAAGGACAGAGGGAAGATTTTTCTATCTCAAAGGAAAGTTAAAAACTGAAGAAGGCAGCTTCAAATTTCAATATGTACCTTAGTAGTGAACATACTTTTCTTTATTAAATTTGGTACATCTTATCTCATACTGTAGTTCTAGAAACATTTGCTTTGAGATAACACACCTGTTTAGTTAACTTTTCTTATTATGGCAATGAAAAATAAATGTCTTTATTTTTTTAAAAAAACAGCCTTTCTCAGCTACTGCTTGATACTCCATCACTGACAAATCAGCAGAACTGCTTTATAGGACAATTGCAGGGTCTGGCAGTTGAAGGGAGTTGAACTTCTCGTATTCTGGTCAAAATAAAATCTACATTATTAGCACAATTATGGATCTGTCCTGACCCATCTAAAAACTGGTGTCCCTTTAAGACAGCAGCATGTCATGAACACTAAACAACTCAGAGCCATTGCTGCAGGTAATTGTGGTTCATTCAGGTAATTCCTGGTTTTTCTCTCCATGGCTTATTTCTATATTCAAATGAAGCATAAAGACACTGCATAATTTGGAAGCTATTTAATCTGAATAATTTAACACAGCCTGTATAGATGTGCATTTAAATTAGTTTCATTTATTACTGTTTTCTGCACATTTAAAAAAATGTCTGATATATTATAGTACAATACAATATGGAGATGAATACTATGCTCGAATTATTTGCAGGCATCATGGAAGAATGGGGAGATAAAGCAGAAACTTTTACTAAGATACCAACCTCTCCAGAGTTTATCAGTCTCTGTGAGCCATCTGGAAATGTTTCAATTACTTCAGCAAAAGCAAGGCCCATTTTTTTAGCAACTTCAGCATCATCTGGGCTAATGCAAGGGATTCCTGGAAAGAAAAAAATATGTTAAAAACAAATTTTCAACATAATTTTATTTATTTTTTATTTTTATTTTTTTATTTATTATTTTTGTCAATTGCTTACAAGATAATAGGTATAAGTAAAAACATAGTTATGAATACAGATACATATAAGAAAAATAAAAAATAAAATAAAAAAACAATAGGACAGGGACAGTAGGCACGTTAGTGCGCTTATGCACGCCCCCTACAGATCTCTTAGGAAAGGGGTGAGGTCAATAGTAGACAGTCTAAGGTTAAAGTTTTTGGGGTTTGGAGAAGAAACCACAGAGTCAGGTAGAGTATTCCAGATATTGACCACTCTGTTGCTGAAGTTGTATTTCCTGCAATCAAGTTTGGTGCGATTAACCTTGAGTTTGTATCTATTGTTTGCTCTTGTGTTGTTATGGTTGAAGCTGAAGTATTCATTGACAGGTAGGACATTGCAATGTATGATTTTATATACTATACTTAGATCAGACCGAAAGCGGCATAGTTCTAGGTTTTCTAGGTCTAGAATTTCGAGTCTGGTGGCATAAGGTATTCTGCAACAAGTAGAGGAGTGGAGAACTCTTCTTGTGAAATATTTCTGGACTTTCTCAACTGTGTTAATATCAGATACGTAATGTGGGTTCCAGACTGATGAGCTGTATTTGAGTATTGGTCTAGCAAATGTTTTGCATGCTCTAGTTAGTAGTGTAATATTACCAGAGAAAAAGCTACGTAAGATTAGGTTAACAACTCTTATCTCCTTTTTGGCTATGTAGTTACAGTGGGCTCTAGCACTTAGATCATTAGAGATGAGTACTCCAAGATCCTTGATAGAGTTTGGATCATCAATAAGGTCTTGACTATTCAGCCTGTATTTATTTATTTTTTTGCCAATATGTAGGACAGAGCATTTATTTGTTGAGATTTGAAGTTGCCATTTGTTTGACCATTCTGATACATAGTCAAGGTCTTTTTGAAGGGTAGCAGTATTGTCTGTGGTGTTGAATAGTTTTGCATCATCAGCAAAGAGAACGCAGTTGCTTTTGATGTGATCACAGAAGTCATTTATGTAGAGTATGAAAAGAGTTGGTCCTAGAACACTGCCTTGGGGGACACCACTTTTGACAGGTACAGAATTTGATAGGACGCTCCCAATTTTGACCATTTGTTGTCTGTTTGACAGGAATGCTTCTTTCCAGTTATGCAGGTGTCCAGAGATACCGTAAGATTTTAGTTTTAGGAGTAGTTTGTCATGTACCACTGAATCAAAGGCTTTATAGAAGTCTATGTAGATTGTGTCTATTGCTTTGCCCTGATCAAGTTGTGTAGTCCATATGTTTTTGCAGTGTAAGAGTGTAAGAATTTCCACTTTTGTGTGAGTGTACACAAGGAGCTTTTCTATTAAGAGTTTATCTAATGGTAGTAATTGTATGCTCCTGTGTCTACTTCTATTCCCCTGAAATCTAACGTGCTATTTCTTAAGCATTCGATTTTCAAATTCAAAGTGCCATCACTTCTTTAAACTAAAGTAGCAAATACTCCTTCCTTCTATTTTTTCCACAATAATCCAACTCCCTGAAATGGGTTGGGCTTAGAAAGAGTGACTGGCTCAGTCACCCAGCTGACCTTCAAGCCTAAGGCAAAGTAAAACTAATGATCTCTTGGTGTCCTCAAAATCTAAATGTGCTAATCATAATGGTTATGTCAAGTAAATCTTTAATTTTCTTTCAAGTGGTGGTCTTGTAGCCAAAGATAGATAGTTTTAATGTCAATAAAACTGAAATAAAAGTAACAGCGATGGTCTATTTTACTAACCTATTTTCAAATCAAGGCAGCCTTCAAACTCTGATTTTGCTGAGACGACTACAGGTATTTCCTGATTAGTGAGTAAATTCATAGCAGTCACTGAGGTAAGAGAATCTGTAAAATATACAGTTTGAAGCATTATTTCAGATGGTATATTACTCCATCAATAAATCTAAGATAAATAAATCATATAATAGATAATAGGCATTGCAGATGTCAGGAAGTAGAAAAAACTTCTTACCACATATGGTGGACATGTAAAAAAATACAAAAACACCAGAAATACATACCATGCACAATGCAGAAAATGTTAAAATTAAAATGAAATAACTCTTTTTATTAGAAATAATTAAAAAAAACTAATAAGATATATCATAGTTTCATGAAATAAATGTTTACAGGAGCAAGAATAAACTGCTCACTATTGAAAAAAAACATTTCTGATAATATCTGATTGGGAATTCTTGGAAACTTGGCAAACATAGCAATGGCAAAACTAATAGTTATTACTAAATTTAACTAAATTTAAGAATCATTCCATATATAAAACACATCATACAGCATAGCAAATTTAATAATTTACAGACTGTTTCAAAAGGGGAGGGAGTTTGAAAAAGAAGAAAATGTTTCATTTCTCATCCAAGAAGCTTTATCAATTATTCATCAGAAAAAAACAGTCTAGTTGCCATTTGAAAAAGCACTTTTGAGACATCTATGACCAGGATGACTGAGAATCTCCACAGACAAATCTACAGATTGGTTTTCAGGGGACCTAAACTCGTTAAAATATAGCAAACTAGCAGATATGTAAAAGACAGCAAGTTGGAAACTTACTTTTTTTTCTTTATAGTTTTAATTAGTTTTAATTCTCATTTTTGCTTTTTTTTAGTATTTCAAAATTGTTGATTATTTTTGTTTTGTTCTTGGCTTTCTGGCTAAAATCAAGTGTATTTTCATCAGTTTATCAAGATGTATCTAAACACATATACTATACACACACACACACACACACACACCAAGAAATAATACGATGCAGTTTTTAATATTAAGTCATTTAGCTTAAGATCAAAACTTAAGATCAAAACGAATGCTTTGATGTACGTTCTTCCTTTATTTTCTCACTTATTCCTAATGTTATATTTAATTTTGAAGAAAAGATTAAATAATGTCATTAACCCTGAAACTGTAATTAATATTAATAGACTACTTACTTATCTACAGTTATTATTCTAAGACTGTCAGGTCCCCATAGATCCCTATCGGGATGCTGCCATTCTGATGGTGACATTTTATGATATTTTCTTATTTCTGATTTTTCCTTTACTTTGATGTACCTTCCTGGGAAAAGGAGGGGGATTAGGAGGCCATCTGTTTTGTCAGATCCAGAGGGACTAGTAAGTGGTGCCTGAGAACACCTTCTCAGTTCAAAGTTCTCACAACAACTTCACATCTGTGGATTGGCTCTCTTGCCCTGGAAAGGGTTCCTACAACCTTTAACCTAACAGTTCTAAGCGGGAACTTCAGATCCTGCCTATTCTCTTTGCTATCACTATCTCCTAATAAAAGTTCTTTTTGAAATGCTGCCTGTTTCAAGAGTTCTGATTTCTTGAGGATAGGAGAGGCAAGTCCTTACAAAAACATTTAAATACAGAATTTAAATATATTATATAAATATCATTGTACTGAAATATACTATAATACTGAGAATATGGAGTAACAGACAATCTATATAACTAGATTTAATAATATGTAAGTTGACTGTCATAGTATTAATATTTTATGGGGATATCTCTTCAAAACTCTCTCAACTAATTACTATTTTAAATATTTTATTATAGTAGCAATATTATATTTTTGGTTTTACTTCATCATATATACTAATTTCTATACTTTATCATTAAAATGTTTAAATAAAAAATAAGTTAAAAAAGAAACATTATTTCACATTGTTATTTCAAATGTTCAATTTTACTAAGAATTTCTGTTCTTCTATTTTTCACAACTTCAGATTGAATTTGCTTTCCTAATTCTCAACAGTGTTCTAAAAGACTAATATGGATTAGACGTTTTGGCTACCTCAAAGGCATTTGAATTAATCTCTTACTTAAAAGAAATCATGACAGAATTAAAACTTTCAACATATCTCTACCAAAACTTTAACAATATTTTTAAAGTAGACATTTCTGGGATAAAGAATTTGATTCTCCAATAAAGCACTATGAATGAATTCAGGTTTTTAAAATATTAAAGTAGTATCTACAAATCTGAGATTATGGTTAATTCATCAAAAATGAATTTAGAGTGTATTTGAAGAATGCATTTGAAAGGATATCAATTTTCTATGCTTGAATATGTAAAAAAATTGTTACGATCGTATGATCTTTTGGTATTTTTTAGACACTTTATTAAGGTATATACCCATGATGGTGAACCTATGGTATGCTTGTCATGTTGGAAGTGGCATGCAGAGCCACTTCTGCTGGCACCCAAGGTCACTTGGAAGAGCCCCACTGTGCATGCGCGCATGCGCTGCCCGCCCAATAGCTGATTGTCAGGTATCTGGTGCACATGCACGGGGGTGCATGGGAGACACACGCACATGTGTAGGATGTGGCCCCCCCCCGCACGCATTGCCTTCTGGGTGCTGGCATGTGAGCGCGCATACCAGGCATGATATTCCCCTCTGAAAAAAAAATCGGGGCCGGCCAAAAGAGACCCCCCCACCGCGCGCCAAGAAATCACTGCCCAGCTCCCTTTTCCTGCTGCTCAGCGGCCTCCGCTCGCACCGCCCGGGCTCCGCTCGCACCGCCTGCCCGGGTTCCGCTCGCACCGCCCGCCCGGGCTCCGCTCAGGTATCCGGCTGGGGCTGTCAGGAGTTGCTACCGCCGCCGCGGCTCCGCGCGGCTCCAGTCCCGCGTTGCCTCGGGAAGGGAAAGGCAAAACCAGGAGCCGCTGCTGCCGTTGCAAAGCGCCGCCGAGGCTCTTCCTTTTTGCCTTTCCCTTCCTGAGGCAACGCGGGACTGGAGCCACGCAGAGCCGCGCCAGCGGTAGCAACTCCTGACTCGGGGCCTCCGAGGGGAGGGGAAGGAGGAGAAGAAGGGGGGGAAAGGGGGGGGCAATTCCTAAAAAAATCGGAATTCCGATTTTAATCGGAAGAATATGTCTGGCATACGCAAGCCCGCACACAATTTTCAGCATAGGAGCCCAAAGAGCCACCACTGGTATATACTGTAAACAATTATGTTAATGTAATGTTGACTTTTATGCAACAGCTTTGGAATTTAAGAGTTTATCAGGAATGAGGGGAATGGGATTAAAGAATTACTCTGACAAATTAGAAAACCGGATACTAAGGAATGATTGTCAGGAAATGTAAACAGATTCGAAAAGTCAGTAATATCTATTAATCAAAGGATGCTGTAATACATATTTTATGAAAAAGATTTTGTGATATTTTAAACAAAATTTGTTCTGTTCATATTATTTTAAAAGGTAAGAGACAGTGCAGATTTTACTCTGCTAGTTGTTGATCACTATAGAGGGCAGTGCTCATCTCTGTTTCAAGACCATTGAACCAGGGCTGTCCGAAGACAATTCCACGTGCCCAACATGACATGTGGAGCGCTGTTACCTTCCCACCGAAGTGCTACCTATTTATCTATTTGCATTTGCATCAGTGATGGGATTCAAATAATTTAACTGGTTCTCTGCCCTAATGACAGGCTGGGTGGACGTGGCTGGGTGGTCATGTGACTGGGTGGGTGTGGCCAATTTGATTGGTCTCACCCTTAGGAAATTTCTCCTTAATCCAACTCATAGTAAAACAGCACAATAAAATAGCACTGTTCCAATATTTAGAATATAATAGAATAACAGAGTTGGAAAGGACCTTAAGAGGTCTTCTAGTCCAAACCCCTGCTTTGGCAGGAAACCCTACTCCACTTCAGGCAAATGGTTATCCAATCTCTTCTTAAAAACTTCCAGTGTTGGAGCAGTTACAACTTCTGGAGGCAAGTTGTTTCACTGATTGTCAGGAAATTTGAGGGGCTCCTACAAAAATGAGGGAGTCAATCTATTTTCCAAACCACCAAAAGGTACAACAAGAAACAATGGATGGAAACTAACCAAAGAGAGAAGCAACCTAGGACTAAGGAGAAATTTCCTAAGGGTGAGACCAATCAACCAATGGAATAGCTTCAGAAGTTGTGGGTGCTCCATCACCAGAGGCTTTCAAAAGGACAGTGCCAGGAATCACTAAAACAATGCAGAAAACTTAAAACAGCCATTCCCCTTTTTAAAAAAAGTCAACCCCAAAGCAAACGCAGCAGCTGAGAGAAAAACTAAGAGCAGCCGCTCATGCTAATTGAAAGCCTGGGCATGTTGCCAAAAGCCATTAATCCTTCCAACTCTATTATTCTATGTTCTCTATATTCTAAATTGGGTGCTTCACAGTAGAAGCAATACAGATGGCTGGACCACACATGCATTAAATTCATGGCCTGTATGAGCAAGTGTTAGGGATATACACCCTAGCAGAATGTGCACGGCAGTCAGGCAAATATGTGAGATAAACGTTGTTGTAGCTTACACTCAGTAAAACAGATACAATGTGCTAGTTAAATAGTTTATTCCAGTAAGATTTATAGCATAGTCAAACAGTCCATATATCATACACTAGTTCAGTCCGTCCGGGGATTAATCAGTTGCAAAGTCCAGTGTCGAAAAAGAGGTCAGTAAACTTACAAATATCAGTCCAGTAATATATCTCTTCGCAGTAGAGATATGAAGAAGTCAAACCTCCTTTCTTCCTTCAGCAACAGCAAAGAACACGCAGTTAACAATCCATCATCGTCAGCAAGCAATCCAGTAAGCCAGCAAGCAATGCAGTTCTCTTGCTCCCTCTTATGGCTGATTTACAACCGCACCCAAAATTACATGCTTTGCAGTTTAAAGTGACACACACTTAAATTCACTATCATAGTTTATATATATTATTTTACCCAAACTACGTTAGGTAACCTATGTTATTCCTAACATGCATCATTGTCCCCTCCTGTATCTTTCCCCCCAGGAAGAAACAAGAAGTAGACAACACTGCAGCAGCTATAAAAGGGGGAACTCCAGGGAGTATCAGCTGATCACACAAGTGTTATTTAATATTCTTTATAATAAAAATGTTTGTGATCTTGTTCTTCCTGAAGAACAAGATGGGTGATTGATGGGTTTCTCTGCCCTAATGATGTTTCTGTTGTGTATTGACTTGATTCAGCATGTATGGCTGCATTCCAGCTGCAACTGTTAAATGGTTTTTGGCTATCTGCCTGGAGCTATTAACTGAAGGAAGAGAGAGAGGGGAAAAAAAACTATCTTGCACTTTATTTTTAGCTGGTTCTCTAAACTGCATAAGCAATCAACTAATGGTTAAGCAAACAGGTGATAACCAGTTGAATTGCACCTGTGATTTGCATGCTTTTGAAGGCTAGGTTGGCAGGAGCTGGGCTGAGGACAGGAACTCATCCCATTGCGTCGTGCTCAGGTTTCCAGCCAACAAGCCCAGCATCTTAATCACTGAGCCACCATGCCGTTCAGATCATATTATAACAATATATTAATTAATAAACCAGAGACTGTTGATAAGTATAAAATATAAGGTAGATTCTTCCATCTTCTTTTTTTGTATTTTTATTGGTTTGGGGTTGTCTTTCTTTCTTTCTTTTTATCCATACATTTGTGTATGAGGAAGGTAAAAAAAAGGAAGGTCTAATGTAATGTTTTGCTATTAACTATGCATAAAGCCATCTTTGAAGATCAAATATTTGTTTGAAGTGAGATCAACATTTTTGAACTTAATTAGCTTTTAAAGAATACCAAATCTATCTTTCATTATTTTTTCTCTTCAGTTAATTTTTCCCCTGAATTTATTCTCCAAGATTTTATGAATAACATCACAATGGAGATCTCCCTAAATTTTTATTATTACATTAAGAGATTTTTGTTCCCATACATAACTTTTAAAAGATTATTCCTTAAAAATCCATGTGTTGTCTATGTATGAGTATTTGTTTATGTTTTAGTTGTTTGACTTACCAAAAAGGGTTTGTTCTATTAAAAGGGACCACTTCTCTTTTCCTCTTGATTAACACAATAAAATGTTATATTCTGACTAATGGGAACAGAAGCAAATATTTTAGGGGAAAATTAACCATATACAATTGATAATCCTGAGTGATTACCATAATTCAGGTTATATATTGTAGTATTTGCTTGACTATGTTTTGTGATCATTTTGACCGATAACCATCAATTCAGATTACATATCTGTATCTATTTTTTGGTAGATGTTACCTCTTATGATGAAATATGGTATGTGTAAACTGACCAGTTCTGATTGACCAAAACAAGCAATGTTAAAATGGACAGTAAATTACCTTTTCCTTGAACAAATTCCCTCTGGAAAATTTCTTTGAGAAGGCTATTTCCATGTAACAATCGATGGTTAGATAAGATATACAAATGGGATGAGCCATATATAGCTTCAGGTACTGAGGCATATGCTGCTATTGTTTCTCCTGTTGGTTTGTTATTAATCTGTCAAACAAGGAAGTAGGATTATTACAATGTATTCAAAACATCATCCCTTTACAGGTATGTTTGAAACACTGAAGACATACCAGTTGTGTTTTGAGGACGATATGAAAATAGCATACCCTGGTTTGATTTGAATATATTGCTAAACATTGCTTTCTTTATATTGACTATGGTTTGAATTTCTGGATCTGATCAAGTTGGCCAATTATAGTTTTGTGATCATTAGCTAGAATAATAAATGGACTATAGTTACTTACTTTATGAAATTTGGCTTGTGTTCATTTCTTAGAAATTCAACAGAGAAAAGAAGAGTGCCCTGTTCATTCATTTCAGTGAAATTACTCACATAGCTTGAAATTTTTTTCCTGGGGTTTCACATAATTTCTTCCTTGTCTAAAAAGGCTTTACATTTTTTTACTAATATATTTTTGTTAAGGTGGCCATAGATGCTTTTATATTTTAAGAACTATATCTAATGTGGGCTACATATTGAAAGTTCCCTTTATTCTTAATAACTGCAACTGTAGCCTTCTCCATCATCAGAAACCATTTATTTTCTGCTGCCAGAAAGTACAACAGTGGGCATTTCAATAACTCTTCATACAATCCAATTTCGAAAGACTCTACTCATATTTCACAGATAAATTCTAACAGCTTTCAAACATTTGCAATTTATTGGGGAAAGGGGCGTTGGTTCTACCTGATACGCCTCTTCTCAGGGAGTCGAAAGGAGAATTTAGGCTGGGTTATCTCAAGCCTCGTAGCTCTACAGATCAAGTTGAAAAACTACAGACACCCCCCCTGGTAACGGTCCCCAGTTCTGAACGAAGTCGAGGCGAATTCCACTGTCCATTGTCCTCTGAAAGATAGTCCTCTTGATGGAAATACTTTTCCTGACTCTGACTAGACAGACTTCAGGATGGGACTGAGAAGAGGCGTATCAGATAGAATCAACGCCCCTTCTCCACTGAGCCGAAGGAAGAATCCAGGCTGGGACATATAAAGTTGACTGTCCTACAGGCGGGAATTGGTCTGGTCTGAGGTCCCTGCCTCTACATGTATGCTCTGAGCCAGTGACCCATGGTGGAAGATGTCACCCTGCAGCCCAAGGTTGATGGCTGAAAGGAAATGAACAGGACTCAGTCTTCCTGAGGGAAGAGATTAGCTTGATGTAAATGTGGAGTGCCCTCCTGACGTTCAAGGTGTGTCATTTCATCTCCAGAGCATGTTTAAGCTCTGGGCTAAAGTCAGGCAAAATCAACTCCTGTGAACAATGGAATAAGGAGTTCACCTTGGGCAGAAAGGTAGGGTCCAACTACAGAACCATGCTGTCCACAAGAAAAACACAGAGATCCATTCTAACTAATAAGCCTGCCAACTCTGAGATACACCTGGCCGATGTAATGGCCACTAGGAATGACACCTTGCACGTGAGTAGATGCAGGCTGGCTTCACACAAAAGTTCAAATGGAGAAGAAGTCAGCACCTGCAAGACCTTCGGCAAGTCCCATCAGAGGCTTCAAATTCATGGCTCCCTGAAGGAAGGCTCTCACCCTGGGGTGTTGGGCAAGAGTGTGAGTCCTCGAATGAAAGTACCGAGGCCAAAGTGGCCACCTGTCTCTTTAAGGTATTGGTGGAGAGACCTCTGTCCAAACCATCTTGCAGAAACTCCAACACATCTGCCACTGACACCGAAGTGGGCTCCAATCGGTGGCTAGGCCACCAACCACAGAAAATCTTCCACATGGCATCGTATATTCTGGCTGTGAAAGGTTGTCTGGCCGCCTGGATCATCTGAATGACCTTTTTGGAAAACCTCTCCCATTTCAGGAGCCAGACGGTCAACTGGAACCATTCTGGCTCGGGATGATCAATTGGATCCTGGCTGAGGGAGACTCTGTTTGGGGGAATTCTCCAAGGTCTGTCGACCAACAGGCCCACCAGATCGGCAAACCAAGGTTGCCGGGACCTGTAAGGGGCTACCAACAAAACCTCCGCCCTCTCTATCAGTACCTTTCTGATTGTCCCTGGGATCAGCGGAAGGAGGGATGGCATACACTAGCCCCTGGGACCACCTGCACCAGAGAGCGTTGACCTCTTCCACTCCCAGTCCTGGAAACCGTGCAAAATGAGTCGACGGGACCAGGTGGCATTTGTCCAGATTTATTGAGAGCCCGTGCTCCCGAAGTATCCTGATTTGTTGTTATCAAATCCTTCTCCACCTAGAATTGGGAAGAGAATTCTATCAGGATGTCATCCGGATAACACTGTATCCTTATGGAGGTATGCCACTACAGCCGTCAGGAGCTTGGTAAATGTCCACAGGGCTGATGCCAGGCCGAATGGAACAGCTCTGTATTGAAAGTGGTGGATTCCATAGCAAAACCTCAGGAACTGACGGTGGTCTGAATGGATGGGCACATGGAGGTAGGCCTCCATCAGGTCTACCAAGGCCAAAAAGTCTCCCTTACGAATTCCCTTGAGAATTGAGTGAAGGGAGTGCATCTTGAATCTTCGGTATATCAGATGCCTGTTGAATCCTTTCAAATTGAGAATTAATCACCACCACCCCGAGGCCTTTGGGATGACAAAATGGAATAAAATCCCTGTCCCCTCTGGCTCACTGGAACCGGCTGGATGGCGTGGATATCCAGCAAAGGCTGGATTGCCGATTCCATGGGTGCCCTCTTCGTTGGGTCCTTGGAGACTGGGTAGCACATAAAGACGGGGGGGGGGGAGAAAGAAATTCCAGGGTGAGTCCTGATCGTATAATTGCCAGGATCCAAGTGTCCATCGTACTCTCTTCCCACTTCTGTCAGAAGAGACCCAGATAGCCCCCTATGGGATAGATGTCTCTGGCATCACTTGTTGTATCTAAATGTCCTACTGGAAGGACCTCTGGCCTCTGGCAGCAAAGGCTTGTCTATCAGCCTGAGAAGATCACTGAAATCACTATTTGGACGGGGAAAGCTCGCCCCAACCTTCCCCTGTCTAAAGGAGGGCCTCCTGAAATAGGGTGAAGGGCGGTAATCAAAACGCCTTCCCTGAGAAGAGAGGATCTTTCGCTTGTGTCTGGCCTCCATTAAAAAGGGATTCAGAGACTCCCTAAAAAACCTCCCCCCCTTAAAGGGGGCTGACGCCAGCTTCCATTTGTTCCTGGAGTCCATTTGCCAATTTCGTAGCCAAAGAATCCTACGTGCTGTTACAGAAAAGACAATGGCCCTGAATGAAAATTTGGCTGCAGTGAGCATAGCCTCTGCTGTCAATTGTGCTGTGGTTATTATCTTATTTAGATCCTGATGCACCTAAGGTCCTCATGTGGAATTCTGCCCTGCAATTGCCTCAGCCACCGCAGAGAGGCCTGTGTGAAAAAGGACGCAGTTGTGGATGCTCTGATGGCCCAGGTGTCGTCCTGATGCAACCTGCAGAGTGCCATCTCCTCCTTCCGGCCCTCCCCCTTTAATGCGTCTTTCACGTCCGGTGGTTTGACCAATGAGGATGCTAGAGCCGCAACTGAGCCATCCACCTTTGGCACCTCAATGATGTCCAAAAGATCTTGATTTTCATTAAACAGAGTCATCTCCGACCCACTAGGGCAAGTGTACACCCCTAGGGAGGCCCACTGCCTCTTGAACACATCCAAAAACATCTAGGGCACAGGAACAGCACACACCACTGATGTTTTCTCAGTGGAGATATAATCCTCCTGCTCTTCTCCTTCTTGGGCGACTGTGTCCTTCTTTAGACATGTTCTTAGCCTTAATCACCAGTCTTAAATAGAGCCAGCTGGAAAAGGCCCCTAAATAAGGGGGTGCCTGCTGCCCCTGTCTCATCTTCCGAAAAGTCCCTTTCCGGTGGGAGTCCATTTCGGAACACAAGACTGGCTCCTCCCCGAGGGAGATGGAGAACAATCTCTGTGGTAGGTCAGCTGCTCCCCCGAGGGTTGCCAACGTACCTAAGGAATGCCTCTGTCAGTGTCCAAAGATGATAACTGGCACTGTTGGTTCAATTCTGCTTGAATTTCTTGTCTAATGGCTTGGGAGATCCAAGCTTTCATAAAGGCTGGCATCTCTTAAGTCCGAGTCTCCTCAGGGCAAAATCCCACAGTTTAGGCATAAAAGTGACCTCTGGCACAGATCTTATTCTGCTGAAAGATTGACCAGCTGCATAAGCCCTTCTGACTGCTCAGAAACAGAATAAGCAGCCTCTGCCATAATTTGGAGGTTTCCCTGCAAATCTTGATTAACTAAGCCACTGGGTGACCAGGCTGTCAAATACTGTCTATTATTTGCTAATTGGTCTAGCTGCATGCTTTCCTGGGGAATCTGAGGAGATATGGCACTGCTGTCAGCCATCTTGGATCCCCTCAGAGCCTTGTTTAATTCTTTGTCTAAGGCCTTCTGTCTGCACCTGGCCTGTCTCTCCTCTGCCCTATAAGGTCTTTTAGGGGCTAGGGCTCTGGCTCTAATTCTGGCTGCTGTCTCTAAACCAGCAGACCCGGGATCATCTGGCAGCTTTCTCTCTGCTCTGCTGAGGTGCTGACAATTCATGATCAGCTCCCCTGGCCGCCATTTTGAGCACACTAAAATCAACTGTCAGTGGCAGAGAGAGGAAAAATATTTAAAAATTATTATTTTCTGCTGTCAGAAAGTACACCAGTGGGCATTTCAATTACTCTTCATACAATCCGTTACCAGGGGGGATGTCTACCCATATTTCACAGATAAATTCTAACAGCTTTCAAACATTTGCAATTTATTGGGGAAAATACTTTTCAGTGATTTCCCAGGAACAACTTACTTTCAGCATAAACTCAAAATAACATCCAGTGCAATCCCCAAGCCAATTAGCTTGCATTTCCTTTATTCCATACCATTTGGGGAGATTTGATAAACCGTCAAGCAGGGCCTGTAATAATGGTAAGAGGACATCTTAAATCATTGACATTAAAGAACAAGAACATTTGTACAGAACAAATTGTGTATGGCCTCTATATATCTAAGAGTACTTATGAAAAATACACAGGCAGTTAGCATCTGCAATCACCCCTAAAAGTAGTACAGGGATAGTATTCTTCCTTGAATTTAAATAACTTTTATCATATATAAAAGACTACCTAGGTTTTAGTATTACTTTTAATAGTGTAAAAGAATTCCCAGCTTGGAAAAGAGCTATCTGCACATTCCCTCTTTATCAGGAAGATGATGGCCTCTCTACTTTATGAATGGAGGGTTAGCAAGAAGATCAAGGAATCCCCATCCTAATGATAAACCCTAACCCTAACCCTATCCTCTTTTCAAGACTATTATAATCTAATCCCTTTTCTCCTTTCAATACATTTGTAATAAAATTCTGTGAAGATCTAGCTTTCTTAGTAAGCAGCTACCAGGACTTTGAAAAAAAACATAAAGCAAATACTGCATATTATTCTAAGGATTATAATAATGATATACACACACATGTAAGTGTGCATGTGTGTGTGCATGCACGCATACACACACACACACACACACACACACACACACACACACACGTATGTTAGGCTTATTATAAGTATTAGAATAACGTGCAGTATTTGCTTTATGTTTTCCTCTTGGAGTGTCTGAACTTTATCTATTGTCAAGCTAAAGATGGAATAGATGAACTCTTACATCAGACAAGCCCACTACAGAAGCAAAGAAAAAAAATTAAGTAGGGTTTGATGTAATTCTATCTTCAGATTTGCTTATTTATTTATCCTATCTTTATTATTTTTGTAAGTCAAGGTGATTAACATACTTAATACTCTTCCCTCGTGTTTTACCCATAACAATCAAAGAGTTCAGGGAACTCAATCAAAGAGACACAAGAGCCAACAGATGACAAAGACTAAGAAAAAAATTAAGAGGATGGGAGAAGAAATCAAACTATTATTGATAAATATAAATGGATTAAATTCGTCAATGAAGAGAAAAAAAATTGGCAAAACTAATTAAACCAAAAGTACACATAGTATGTTTACAAGAAACACATATCCAAAAAACAAACGAAAAATATTTAGAATGTCCTAAATTAGGAAAACTATATATAGCACCAGCAGATTTTTTTTTTGGGGGGGGGGGGAGAGAGTAGCCGTATATGTTAAGGAGGAAATAAAAACAAAGTTAATCTTCGCAGATCCCAAAGGAAGAATACTAATGATGGAAATGTGGATAGCCCAAAAACCAGTACTATTAATAGTAATATATGCACCCAATGAAAATCAACAAGAGTTTTATAAAAAATTACACAAGAAGATTACTGAAACAGAACAAAGAGACATATGCATCATAGGAGACTATAATGCAATAGTAGATCATAAAAAAGACTATAGTAGCAAAAAAGAAAAATAGAAAGAAAAGATTATTACCAAAAACGTGTTTCAAAATGATAGCAGAACTCAACTTAATAGATGTATGGAGACAACTGAATGAAGATAAAAGACAATTCACCTTCTATTCTAACCTACACCACTTGTGGCCTGGATGGATTGGGAAATAGGAAAAGAAGTGGAAGACATAGAAATAATACCAAACACTTGGGCAGAGCACAACCCACTTAAAATAACCTGGAGAGGTCAGAAAAAAAACAAAATGAAGATGGACTTTAAACACACAAATATTAAGAGATAAAGAATTTACTCCGAAATTCAGAAAAGAATTAGAACTATTTTTCAACGAAAACACTAGACAACACAGATCAATACAAAATCTTTGGGATACTGTGAAAGCCTACATAGGCAGAATTATAATTTCATATACAGCCAAAAGAAGCAAAGAGAGGTGGAAACAACAAAATACATTACAAGAAGAAATTAAAAATTTAGAAACCCAGCTAAAGAAAACACCACAAAACACTAAATTTAAAGAACTATTGACTTTAACTAAACATAAACATTACATATTAGAACAAGAAGAAATGGTGAAAAACTTAAAAGCAGCTAAACAACCCTTTTTTGAGCAAGCAAATAAACCAGGAAGATGGCTTGCGCATAGACTAAAAAGAGAGAGAAAAGACTAATACATCAATTACAAAATGAGGATGGAGCAATGGAAGGGGGGAAAAAAGATTGCATACCAATATTTTGAAGGTTTGTATAAAAATGAGGAGGTAGATGAGAAGATAAGAGAGTATTTGAAAGAGGAAGGGAGCTCATTAATAGCAGAAGAATTAAGGGAAAGCCTATCTAAAGAGATAACCATAATAGAATTGAAACAAGCAATGGTAGCCATGGTGCAAAACTCAAATATGACACTATTCAATTTGCAGAAATATATGTACCGTACGATAATATAAAATATATTATTTTAAATTTATATAGGTACTGTCCAGTCCTGTCTGACTCTAGAAAGTGGTGCTTATCTCCATTTCTTAGCCAAAGGAGCCACCATTGTCCGAAGTTGCCCTCCCACTGAAGTGGTACCTAATTATCTACTTTCATTTGTATACTTTTTGGTTGGCAGCAGCTGGGGCAAGTAATGGGAACTCACCCAGTTGCATGGTGCTCGTGTCTCAAACCCTGGCTGTCAGCTTTCCAGCTGACAATCTCATTGTCTTTAACTGTTGAACCATTGTGCCTCCTCTTAAATTAAACTAGCGTATAAATATAATGCAATAGTCTATTGTGCTTTTTCTGATTTGTCACAAGTAACTGAGGCTTTAATGAATACAATGAGCAATAGGAAATAGGAAAAAGAGAAGCAAGGCAGACATGTACTGTACGGGCACATGACTTATTTCTGAGCCAATTGACTATCATTCGTTGGATTGGTTTGTTACATCTGTGCCCAATTACATGAAAATTATATGAGCAGGGAAAATAAAACCAGAAGACTTCTGAGGGACTACACGGTTCTTTTTTAAAAAGAGTTTAAATTTTAGATTAAAGAAAACAAACTGAATTCAACTTCCAGGTGGATAGCATATTTGCAATTTCTCTCTCAATAAAAGGAAGATAATTTGGTTTAGAATTAGATGATTAACAAGATGCAAATAAAAAAATCCAAAATGCAAGTTTGAATTTAGCCACAGAAAATGAGGTGATCCTGTTTTACAAATTAAAGAAAAATCCAGAACAATTACTTTGAGACAGAAACTAGAGTATAAGGTATTCAATGTGGGATATGTTTGATGAAAAATGTCACTGGTATATTTGAAATTAATTATTGTAAATAAACATAAAAGGAAACAACGTTAATTTCATAAAGTAAGCATACTAAACACAGGCATGATATTCCGCTCTGAAAAAAAAATCGGGGCCGGCCAAAAGAGACCCCCCGCCGCGCGCCCGGGGAGCGCCCGCTGCTTTCCCTCGCCAGGGCCGGGCGGCGGCGTGTTGCACGGAGGCTGGTCTGTGGCTGGCCCAGCTTCCTTTTCCTGCCGCTCAGCGGCCTCCACTCGCACCACCCGGGCTCCGCTCAGGTATCCGGCTGGGGCTGTCAGGAGTTGCTACCGCCAGCGCAGCTCCACTCCACTCCTGACTTGGGGCCTCCGAGGGGAGGGGAAGGAGGAGAAGAAGGGGTGGGGGGAAAGGAGGGGGCGATTTCCAAAAAGATCGGAATTCCGATTTTAATCGGAAGAATATCATGCCTGTAAACAAGCATATATATACCTTCATCTATTGAAACAGAGAGACAATTTTAACCAGTTTTTCATTTCTATCAGGCATTTTGATATTAAAATAGACAATGAAAATTAAGGCAGCCATTAAACAGTAATCCAAATGTCTTTTTGAATGTAAAAAGTGAGAAAGAAAAAATAAAGATACCTTCTTTTATTCTTTTTTACACTACAAACTAAGGTTTAAAGAAATATATCATTTATAATGCATAATTCTAGCGCTATGGGAAGCAATTTTGACATGGTTGGAAAGTGTCAGTCAATAATACTAGTTGCTAAGAGACAGTGAGAAAAGGGAATTATAGGGCTGGGTGTTTCAAGTAAAGTGATAACCTAGATTGAAAACTGATATGAGATTTGTTTATCTTGTACTGTGCTAAGAGAAGTTGGAAGTCAATGTCCCCTTTTCTTTCTTTCTCTCTTTCCCCTTGTATCTCACACCGCCTTTTCGCCTTTCCCGCTCCTTAACTTCCAATTTTTTCTTTTCTTCTTTGTATTTTATATAATAAAAATAAAAATGATAAAGAAAACTGGTAAGTGATGTTGCAAAGAGAAATTATTATTATCCAGAACATTTCCATTTTTTTCTCGCTGTCTTGCTCTTTTGCCTTCAAATACAATTTATATAGTTAAATTGTCCACTATTGAATAACAAAAGCAACATGCGAGTCATTAAAAGTAAGAATTAAAAATTATTCTTCCAACTTATGGAAAGCTACTAATAAACCATAGTATTGAAAAGATTATAAGTATAACATGATTTTTTTATAAGAAGCTATCTGATGAGCAATTTCTTTCTTATCATTTGTAATATGACCTCCCACCTGATTCACTAAGCTCTGAATCCCAACTCAAAGGAAAGGTCCCTGATAGAAGAGGGAGGGGGAAGATGGGTTTGTACATATAAGATCACTTCAGAATTTATATTACGGCAACAAATGTATTTAATAGACAGTTAAGGTCATAAAATAGAAAAAAAAATATTAAGTAAAATGTTGAATAATATTTTTAAAGGGAGGAGGTAATTCAGAAAAATGTCAAACGTGGAATCTGCATTTAGCTAAAAAATCTCGTGGAATGTGGAATGTATAAATTGTATACTCAATTATATTCTTTTGTGTAGCTAAATCAGGATTTAAGATATTTAGTTCATCTTTATTATACACAGAAATGTGCTTTGTTTGTGACTGAATATAAAAAAACTACCATAAAAGGACAATTTTTATTGGATTAGCATGACCTGTCATTTTAACACATTTGTTCACAAAAAAGACATTCTTTAGAGAAGCAAGGTGCCCTAAGAACATTACATTAATGCAACCCTATCCATTTTTGGAAGCAGCTATAAAGGTACCACAGAAGAGAAGACACTAATTCTATACAGATGTACTGATACTGATTTCTATTCCTACAAAGATCTTTGGGTTTGCTTGTGGTTTAGAATTTTTGATGACTACAGTATCTCCCTTCTCCAAAATCATTTATACTCACACCTTTGCATAAGCAGTTGTCTTAATGAACCACTGTTTAAGGTATTTTTTTTCCACCTTTGCTCCTGAACGCCATGAACAGCCGTTTTCATCAACTTGTTCGTTAGCAAGGACAGTCTGATCCATTGGGTCCCAATTCACCATTGCCTAAGTGATGCCCAAAAACAGAGAAAAGAAATACTAGCACGAGCAAACTCATTGGCCAATTTTTCAAGTAGGAGATTGGCACAAATATTTATACTTCATGAACCCTTAAACATCTACTAATTTTCCAAAGCCAGTTACCCCTTATACTCAAGCGATCTTTTACTCTCCTATGTTAAAATCACATTTTGCTTATTCTCTAATCATTTCCAGGCCAATGCAAGAAGTTGATGTTTAGCCAAATGTTCTACTGAGATTGGGACCAAAATGCCTGAAAGTTCATTTACAAACCTGCAAAGTATATAATGCTAAATCATGTGAATCCAGTTGTGATTATACCATGGTTATATCTAAGATATGTTTTTATTTTTCTGAATTGGGACACTATACCTTATCCAATAAACAATAATTAAAACAAACACTGTTAGAGTGCAATATGTGAATCTAGCTTACATTTTTTGAAACCCTCCTCCCACTGTAGCATTTTCTTTCTGAAGCGAGACATCCTCAGATGGACAGAAAAACCTTCTTTACTATGATAGCCCAGCATTCTCTTCAAAGAAGGTTGCCTGGCATACAAATTTATTTGTTCTGATGGAAATGTTTTTTTTAAATCTAACTCCTGTGATTCTTTAATGTTATATAATACATAATGCTATGTATCATTTTTACTGAGGTGTTATTAATTGTATTGTTTTATTTCTTTGTATAATGTATAATTTATCATAATTGTGGTAAAAACACTGAAAAGTAGTGGAAGAAATGTTTAAGTACAAAGCAAATAATCTTTCTCATTTCTTTTATGAATCTACAGTTTTTATCTTTTGAGCTTCATACCTGTTTCACAAGCAATCGTTACTGAAGTTTGGAAAGGTAATCTACAATATCAGTTTGTAAAACAATATTAAAACTTACTTCATTCTGATAGATTAAACCAGCTTCATAAAGCTTAATAAAAAGATATTGCGTCCACTTGTAGTACTTAGGAGAGCAAGTGATTATTTCCTGTAAAAATAAAAAAAATCTATCAAATCAACACAGTATGTTATTACCAATCATCTGATGCAGAACTCAAATGTTCTTTGTGAAAGGAGTCTAGCATTTTTATGTCACTCATTTCCCCTATAAGGTGACTCTAGGGAAGGACAGAATAGGGATTTTATTAAAATCCACACATAGAACTTTGACAGGTAAGCAAAAAGGCATTTTGTTAAGATACTGCAAAAGTTTTAATCAAACCTACAAAAAATATTTTTTAATCAATGCATTTCACACACACCCCACCACTGAAGTGTCCTTATCTTGAAATAACATTTGCTAAAAGTGCTTTGATCCTGTTCTGGCTTATTCCAATTTCTGTTTCATGGTCAAAATGGGATGTTTTAAGGTCAAACTATTTTCAAAGTAGGTGATCGCTTTTCCAAAATATTTTGAGGCTCTGAGTATTTTGTCCCCAAAATATTTGGTATACCTCTAATTTTGGTGCCAATAGTGAGGATCAAAGCATTGTTTTGGACACAAACAAAAGTAAGCAGCTTTCTAAATCAAAGCAAAGAACAGTAACAGGATTTGAGTACAAAAGTAATTCCCTACCAATTTTATTCTTTTCTTTCATAGCTCTGTTTATATATGTCTTATCTCTCAGGAGAGGATTTTATCACAGTTAATCTTATGGTATATAAAATATTTAATATTTATGTGCTTATGAAATATTTTCTCCAGCCTACCATACTGTATCTAAGCCTATAGTCACACAGTAAAATTAATATAAAAAAAATCACAGTAAAATTAATATAAAAGAAATCATAGAAAAAGAGTTGCTTCACATAGTTTTAAAATTATGAATCTGCACATTTTAGATAGTTTATAGGCAAATTACATGCTAAAATATATCAATTTCACTTTAAATATAAAATATTAATGTAAATATTTATTTATTTTAAAAAACCTTACCCGATCCCAGCTGAAAGACAAGCCTAATACATCAAGCTGCTCTCGCATATGTTGAATATTACTGCAAAGCAAAACAAAATCTTTGTGAAAATTTATCAATTATCCAATATGAACCATGATAGTTAGAACAGGAAGAGTTTCTCCAATCTGCACACTAGTTTTAACTATAATTTATTCTGCTAGAATATTTATGCAAGCTTATTACTTTGCTAGACAACTCAGTGACTTTCTCCATTCAATTTAAGAGACAAAATCAGACAAATATATGCATAATCCCAGGTTTTTGAGCAAAACCAATTTATACACAAATTCTAATAACATATATATTTACCGCATATATTATTAACATTGGGATTTTCTCTGTATCCTTCCTACAATAATTTACTTCTCTTTTTTAAAGTGCTGCATTAATTTCATTAGGGTATGAGCTTTCATGAGTTATATCTCCCTTCATCAGATTCATGAAATAACTAAACTGGTCACAGGGGTTGGAATGGACCTTGGATATCTTCTAGTACAGCCGCTTGCCCAAGTCAGGGGTTCTTATCTCAGATAAATGGTTGCCCAATATTTTGTTAAAAATCTCCAGTGATGAAGCACAAATTCTTGTGGGCAAGCTGTTCCACTGCTTAATAGTTTCTTCTTAGTTCCAGATTGAATCTCCCTCTGATGAGCTCTCAGCCACTGTTTTCTGCCCTCAGGTGCTATGGAGAGTAAATTGACATACTCTTGCCTATAGGAGTCCTTCAAGTATTGGAAGAATGTTATCATGTCTCCTTTAGTCTTCATTTAGTAGACTTTCTGCCTGAGCAGTCTTGCAGAATGCCTTTACTCTTTCTTTGCAGCCCTTGAGCTAGTGTTGGAAAAGAGCAACAGTTTTCTTTGAAAAGCAACAGTGGCTGTGTCCGTTGATTTCTGCCAGCCTCACTTCCTCTGCCTGCTCAGATGGCAATTCATTCAGTTGAATTTGATTGCTCCAGACAATTGACACCACATCTGAGACACACTACTGATTCATATTTAAATGGTCCATCAGAATACTTAGATCTCGACTTCCGGCTATACTTCTGCACAGTCGGAGTAAAGACCGCGATTGTCCATGGCTTCGCTTCGAGTTCTCCTTATTGGAGGGCCCCAATCGGGACTGGAACCACCTGGAGGGGTGGTGAAGAAAGGTTCAGGGGAGCCGCATCTCTCCTCCCTGGTGAGGAAAACCCCCTTCGAAGATGAGCTGTAGCGGTAGCCTAAAATGGCTGCCATGAAGACGGGAGACAGTCTGAAAATACTGCGAACTACAAAAGGTAACCCTGATAAAAATAACAGGAAAGAGATCTCACAAAGAACTGTACTAGCAGCAACCTTAAAGTTAGAGAAAAATTTGGGAAACATAAAGAACTTAATTGTTAATATTTAAACTGAAAGGAAATAATCCAAAGAGAAAAAAAGAATATAAAATTGGAATTGGTGATTGTACAGGATTTGGCACTGAATAGGCATTATTTAAAATGCTGAAATTGACTGTGGAAAAAAAGGAACATTTGAAAAAATTGGCAAAGTTAATGAAAGTTTAAAGAAACAGAAAAAAAAGATAGAAAGTGAAAACTGGATTAAGAACACTGTTAGGAATGTAAGTCACCTAACAGCTATTTGGGTTGGAAATATATAAACCAGGATAGACATTTTAATACTGTATCTTTAAGAAAATACTAAATCTGTAATTGGGTGTGGTTTCTCAAGCGGCCATAAGATGGAGCCAGAAACCTGGGTTGTCTTAGTCTTAGTCTCAAAAGAAGTCTCTGTGAGTCTCTGTTTCCTTCTGTTGGAGAGTATTGCCATTCCTTCTAATGACTGTTATTCTTGGAATTGATGTAAATCTGATACTGAACTGTTTTTGACACTGTACTTTGTTATTGGATTATCCCTGGACTGAAAACTGACTGATCTTACCTGTGAATGACTTTGGACTGCTTATCTTGAACTTTGCTTGAAAGTTTCTGGAAGTAAAAACCTACATTTACTGTACAGTGTATCTGTGTGCTGTGTGTGTATTATTCACTTATGTACTACTCTCAACTACATCTCCCTATATGCGCTCATTCTCCTAACAGGGAATTACCTCAACAAACACCACCTGCTGTTAAAAGAAAAATCCTGCAGATCCCATAAACTTTATGACCTGTATTATAACAAGACCCTAGAAAGTGGAAATATTAAAACTAAAACAGTGGAGGAATATATAAAGATACTATCCCTGGATTTTTTGGATTTTTTTTTATTTTTTGAAAAGGAATAGACTGATTAAACTTGAGAAATAAAGATTTAAGGATATTGGCTTCAAAGATCAAAGAAAGATGGTGGTCTAAAAAAAGATTGCAGGACAATCGGACAATTGAATACAAAAATAACACCCTGGCAAATGCTGGCAAAATTAATATTAAAAAGGGGAAGTATAAATTAAGAAGAATTCATGAATAACAAATTGAATGATATAATTTGATAAAATTTGCAAATATGACAAATACAAGAATATACATTAAAATGATTAAGAATATAGAGATTGATATAAAGTAACATATGAGAATATTGAATAAAAAAATTGGTAATAGGTAATGATATGATAAGAAAGATAGGAAAGCTGAATATGTAATTATGGTCACGTTTGAATTCAAATGTTAAAAAAAACTGGAACTACACTGCTCACTGTTCACCCAAAGATGTATCTAAAGAAATAAAAATAAAAATTGTATTTTTTTAAAAAAGAATATTTAGATCTCTTTCACAGGCATTACTGTGAAAGAGTCATTGATTATCCTGTATGTGGATCTTGTATCTGAAATCTGTTTTTTACTATTTAAGTGAAAGGTCTTATTTTTCTTGTCTCTAAACATCTTGTTAAATAGGACCCAATGTTCAAGTCTATCAACAGCCTTTTGGTTCTATCTTCTAAACTGTCCGAAATCTTCCCCAGCTTTGTGTCATCAGCAGATTTCATTCAATTTCTTCATATAGGTCGTTTATTTAGAAGAGCACTAGACTCAAGACAGAACCTTGAACTCCACTGTATATTGATGTAAGATTTAAATTGGGATGAGGTAATGAAAAGGAAGGAAAAATAAGTTGGTTATGCTGACAGAAGTTTCAGTCTTTGGATGTTGAACTAACCACCCAATGGAATTAAATTATTTCTCCAACAAGACCAGTAAACAAATCAATAGATCAATTTCCAGGTTTTATTAAGCTGCTCTGTTAGCTTGAACAGCAGGATGGGCAACCAATAAACGTGATAATAACAATAATTAAAAATCAGGCTACAAACACACAAGCACCACTAGTTGTCATCTACAACAGCTCACAATTCAAACCACTCAAATTCATTATTAATTCAGTGCAGCCCGTAATGGATTATTACATTGCACTTTCTCAGGAACTGCCCATACCAGCATACAGACTATTAACTAATCCGAAGCAGACTATCACAAACAACAAGAAACAATATGACAATGATGCTAACACTCCCATGTTAGCCTGCAACAAACCCAGATGTCTACTTTGACTTCACATCTACACCAATAGCACCATCACAGTCCTTAATAAATACCCACAAAATCAGAGGCACTTTTGCATGCCTCTATATAACATAATCTGCCAGCAATGTCCTTCTAGATTCTAAATAGGGCAAGCTTCATACAAAAGTTTGATAGCAAGACTCAAAATGAGGACAAAGTGATATAAGAGCATTTCAACCTCCCTGGACTCTGCAGATCACGAAGTGACGATTTTGGAAATAAGAGGCTTTAATCATATAACTGAGTAAGAAATTGCTGAAATCATGTATGTCAAAATTACAACTTAATTCAATCTGATTTAACTTTTTAAACCAGGAACTAGAATGTAAACCTTTTATTTTGGTTTTCTTTTTGTTTATTAAGAGGAACATATAGAACATTTTTCTTTTTTCTTTTTGATTTTTACTTTTTATATCTACCATTGCAACTAATTGGATTAAGGTATACAAGTGCCTGAAGATTTTCTTTTTCCTTTTTTCCTTTGGAGTGGCAATTGCTTGCCTTCGTTTTTTTTTCTTCATTTTTTTTTCTTTTTTCCTCTTTTTTCTCTCTCTTTCTTTACAGATAAGCATTACAAGATGAGTAGAAAGACAACAGCTCCAGCTTCTTCAATACCAACTCCCTTACCATCTGGAGGACAACGATCTATACAAACAATATTACAACAGGAAAAAGAGAAAGAGAAGGAAGTGACATTACAGACAATTATGCAAGAAATTCAGAAAATTGAGCAAAAAATTGAAAAGAGATGAAAAAGTGGAAAATATTCAACAGATGATGATGAAGTAAGAAGACAGATTCAAAAAAATTGAAGAAGATATACAAAGAGATAAGAAAATAGGAGATATTGATAATTCGTTTGAGCGATGTTGAGAAGGGCAGATGTGTTTGAGCGATGTCAAGAAGGGCAGATGTCAAGAAGGGCAGGATGGGAAATAGACAAATCAGAATTTTATCTAAGATTTCAAAATATAGAAGGAAAAGGTGAAACTCTTGCTGAAATAATGGCAGAAATATTGGCAGAAGCACTGGAAATAACCAAAGAAAAGATGATGGATGGGGTGGACGAAGTGTTTCGTGTCTACACAAGATATGCAACGAGGAATAGATTACCAAGAGAAGTTCACATTAGATTTGCTAAGAAGATTATTAAGACACAGATACTTCAGGTGGCGAGAGAGAAAACACTAAAATATAAACAAATTGTGGTGCTGAAACAGATACCAAGAAGAGCAAGAGAGATGAGAAGAGAATATTTATTCTTGACTAAAGAGTTACTTAAAGGAGGAGTAAACTACAGATGGCTGATGCCAGAAGGCCTCTTGTTCACTTGGCAGGAACAAAGACACAGAATTGACACAGTTGGAAAAGCTGAGCTATTCTACTTAGAATACTTTAGAGAAAAGGAGGAAGAAGAAAGAAAGGAAAAGTCACTAATTGAGTTCCAAGAGGATTGTATAGCAATAATTGAAAAAGAAAAAGAAGGTGCAGTAGG